TTTTTTTTTTTTTTTTTTTTTTTTTGAGCCCTGGTGGTTCAGTGGTTAAGCGGTCGGCTGGTAACTGAAACCCACCAGCTGAACCCACCAGCCGCTCCGTGGGAAAAAGATATGACAGTTTGCTTCCGCAAAAGATTTACAGCCTTGGAAACCCTATGGGACAGTCCTACTCCGTCCTTTAGGGTCTCTATGAATCACAATCAACTCGACGGCAATGGGTTTTGGAGCCTGGGGTTCCAGATATTATCGGCCGGGCTTGTACGTGGGACCCATAGATACCCCATTCTGAGTGCCAGGGAGTAACAGATCAGAGGTCAACGAGCCCGACCCCCGGGGAGCACCACAAAATTCTGGTCCTCAGGTGGTGTCCCCCCGGTGCCCCCTTGTGGATCCATCCCAATTCCACCGGAGGAGGCGGAGCAGCTCTCATCCTGGGGCCCTCTAGCCTCTTAAGAAAGGCGATCTTTCGAAGTCCCTTCCTGCTTCCTGCCGTCTAGCTTCGGCGCCGGTGTCTTACCAGCTCAGCGGTCCAGGTGGGCTCTGCTCCGAGACAGGGGAATGGCTGCGGAGGAAAGCTGGGCGAACTGGAGGCGCCAGGAGCAGCGGGGAGGAGGGGGAGGCGAGGGCGGACTGGGCGGCTCCGGCTGGGGAACCGCCCCTGCGGCTCCGCGCACACACGGAAGCGGCGCTGGCGGAGCGTAGCCCGGCGGGCGTGGGAATCTAGGCCGGGTGGAGGCGGCCAGGTTAGTGCGGAGGGTGGGTGGGCTTCCCGGTGCCAGTGGGAGCGGAGGTGGAATCCTGGCCTGGGAGTGTGAGCGCGGCGCGGCTGTCACTGTCACCCGCGGCTGCCCCGGCCTGGTAGTGGTGGCCTATTGCGCTGTTTCTGTGGAAGGCGGGGTGGGGGTGGATATGGACCCTGACCTCCGCAGGTTTCTTGACCCGACTAGGGCTTTCAAGAAGCGGCAGGGCGCTGCGGGTGAGAGGGAGGTGCGGGTGATTCTAAACAGACGTATGAGCGGAGACCCCTGCCCGTCCAAGCTTGTCGCAAGTGCGAATCCCCAGCATGGTTGGCGGGGGGGCTAGTGGGAGTCTGGGAAGCTCCCCTTGCGAGGTCTCGAGCGACGCAGCTGAGTAGGGGGCGCGCGGGGAGTCGAAGGCTTTCAGTCCACTAGGGGCCATGCCCGCAGGCTGTACCCGCCCATTTGGCTGGCAGTGGGTCTACCCGGGACTGTTAAGCTGTGTTGATGGGGCGCCACGCCGGGCTGGCCCCTGGTACTCGAGGTGGGTTTTCTTGGGTCAGTGCCCACGTGCTCCGCACAGCCTCTGCCCAGCTACGTGTTCCCAGGACTTAGCTCGGGAGCCTCCGCCCGGCCTGCAGAGGGGCGGACTCCTGGTGGGTGGGGCGCGGGGCTTCCCGAGGACGGGTTTCTGTGGCAGGACACGTGGGAAGGAGTTGCCAAGGGGAAAATGGGAGTCGAAGGCTCCTGACCTTTCTCTACTCTCTACCCTGTTAACTGACCCTCTCGACCTCCAGCCTTGTTTGACTTCCACCGTCTGTCCAGTCCTATTGAGTGCAGTGGGGCAGTCCTGCCCCCTCCAGGTTTCCTGTGCCTCCTGGCAGGTCTGATGGGCAGACTCTGGCCCCGCCCCTACTTCCACTCTTTGGGGCGGGACAACAGCCATCCCAAGACTGGTTAGGAAGAGGAAAGGTTTCAAGGACAGGTTTCCACTCTTCCCCTTCCCTTCTAGACTCCCCAGCGCGTCCCACTTATCTCCCCTCCTAGGTCCCACTTGTCACCTGCAAAATCTCACCCCCCCCCGTTATTTTCTTACTTTTTTTTAGAAGTTTTCTTTCTTTTTTAACACACTTACAAAGAAAATCAAAATCACCCCAAATTCCACCCCACAGAGATAATCAATGTTAACTTCCTAATAGTTTCCGGACGATTGTTTTGCGTAAATACACAAGTATTAATGTTTTCTACCAGAATATTTTGGGGGAGGGGACTCCAGAAGGCTTGTCCCCTGTGCTCAGACCCAGGGTAGGACCATTGCGAGGTATCATTTCTCTTGCCAGGGTCTGGGTGGTGCTGGGGGGCGGGGGGGCACCTGCCTGGTTACTGCACTCAGGTTAAGGTCAGAGAGCAGATCTGAGCTGCAGCCTTTGCTCTAAGCTCAGGATCTCTATCCCCTCCCCAGCCATGTCCAAGGTGTGGTCCTGGCTCCTCCTGGCACCCTCTCTTCTGAAGCTCCTTGTTACTCATGCAAATAGATGCCTGCTGGGGCTGGAGCAGTGACATCCAGGATGCCCACAGTTGGATCTCAGCACCCCTCCTAGCCCACCATATGTAAATGCCGAAGACCCAGGAATAAGGGAGTGTGACTAATGGGCAGGAGGTGAGATCTGGAGCCCATGTTTCCAGGAAAAGGGTGGGATGGGGTCTCAGGTGAGGTGGGGAGGAAGCAGTAGGGCAGTTCCCCATCTGTTGCCTCATGGGGCAGTGACTGGGAGGCTGTTGACCTGAGAGTCAGTGTGGTGGCCTCCCCCCTCCCCTAGGTTTTTGTCAGAAGATGACAGAAGGGACCCTGCTCTGGCTGGACAGGGAAGGGATATGTAAAAGAACCATTTGAGTTGCATATGACAAGAGCCCAGCTCCAATGACTTTAGAACAACAACAAAAAAATGATTTAGCCCACATAACTGAAAAGTCCAGGGTGCAGTGGCTTCAGGAAGAGCTAATTCCAGGAGCAAAGTGTGGTTAGGAATTCATCTCTCCATCTCTTATCTCTGTATTCCTCTCTGTGGGCTTCATTCTCAGCCAGGCTTTCTGAAAGCAATGGCAAAGGAGATCTACCACTTCCCACCAGTCAGCCCCAAGAGAAGGGAAGCTAGTACCTTTTTCTTACTGGGCTAGCCAAAGTTGCAGGATTGATTTTGATTTGGTTCAGCTTGAGTCCTATGCCCATCGCTGAATTAATCACTGCGGGAGGTGAATGGAATATGCTGATTGGCCGGGCCTGGATCGCAGGCACAGATCTGGAGCCATAGAGTGGGATTAGCCCTCTCAACAGGCACATTGATTGAGAAGCAGGAGGGGGAAGTCCCTAAAGTTCTGTCAGGGTTGAGAGAGGGATCTTGGGCAGGCTCAAACTACAGGCATCCTTGGAAGTGAAGCCAGGGGGCTGAAGAACAGGTGCAGTGGGAGTGCAGGTGAGAGAGCCTCCTGGAGGCTCAAGTTTAAGCTGAGGACAAAGCCAGGACATGGGTACCATTGGCTGTGGGATATGGCCACTATCCGTGATGATGTCTCCTAAACTGTCAGCTTTGGCTTTGAGTAAGAGAGACTCTCTGGCCTGAGGAGGGAGCAGAGCTTCTGCCTCCACTGTAGAGTCGTGACTCTGTTCTCCTGCCACTCTGACCCTGGGCTCTTTCTTGGAGAAGGCAGTGTAGGGACAGACCTCATTGCAAGGCTGGGCTCAACTCGGCTCTGTGCAGTGCACAAGGGGCTACCTGTGAGATGGTGAACTTCCAGTCCCAAGGGTGCCAGCTGGGTGGGGCTGCAGTGGTGGAGACAGCCGGGCCAGGACAGAGCTGTTTTCAGGTCTGGGAGTGACTTGGAGACCTCACTGCAAATTCAGGAGTTGGGATGGCCGCGGGGCCAAAAGAATGCGAGGAGTGGGTGGGCAGCGCATACCTGTTTGTGGAATCTTCGGTGGACAAGGTGATCCTGTCAGATACCTACGCTAACCCCCAGAAGAAGGTGGCAGTGTACAGCGCCCTGCGGACTGCATTGGCAGGTGCGTGGCTGGGCGGGCTGGGGCCGTTTGTGGGCGGGGCCAGGGGCTGAAACCCCACCTCCTAGACTCGGTGGGCCTGGCTAAAACGTGGCGTCAGGAAAGATCGCAGAGAGACCCCAGGCTGCGTAGGCTCTGTCTTCTCTGTTTAGGGCCTGTCCGTGGATGATCTGCCTGTTTGTGCGTTAACGTCCCCCTTGCTCGACTCTCCCTCTCCCCCAACGACCAGCCCGCTCACTCCTTTCTACTAATCGTGCCTCTCTTTCCTCTTTTCCTTTCTTGCTACAGCACTGCTTTCTCAAGACCCCCTCCCCAGTACCTTTCCTTCCGGATCTCCCTTTCCCATCTTAGGGCAGAGGCCACAGGAGGCTGAAGCCAGCCGGGGGGTCTCCAGTCCCAGAGCGGCGAGAGCCCCTCTGCTTCCCGGGCAGCGGGAGCCACACTTGGTGGAGGCAGAAGACCTGAGACCTCTCCCGCCCCTTTCTCGCCCCACTGGCCGCCTGATCAGACGGCTTGGCTGCCCAGGGCACATGCCCCTGTACTGCAAAGTCCCTCCCCACGTCCCATTTGCCCACCCTCATCTGGGTCTTCAGAAATGGGGTGGGAGGTACCCTCTCCGTCTTGGGGTAGGTCCTGGCCTTTATTCTGGGTTGTTGCTGTTTGCATCCCAATTTTGTTTCTCAACTGGGTGGTCTGGGGCAACTCCGCGCCCCAGGTCCGGAGAACGGCCCCGCGTAGGGACCGCACGGCGCCTGACTCCCCACCTCCGCAGAGAGCAGCGGGAGCCCGGACCAGCTGCAGATGCTCAAGATCCATCGCAGCGACCCGCAGCTGATCTTGCAGCTGCGTTTCTGCGGACGCCAGCCGTGCGACCGCTTCCTCCGCGCCTACCGCGAGGGGGCGCTGCGCGCCGCGCTGCAGAGGTGCTTGGCGGCGGCACTTGCCCTGAACTCGGTGCTGTTGCATCTGGAGCTGCGCGCTGGCGCTGAGCGGCTGGACGCTTTACTGTTGGACGAGGAGCGCTGCTTGAACTGCATCTTTGCCCAGAAGGTGCGGCAGGGCTGGGGTTGGGTGGGGTGGCGCAGGGATCCGCGGACCAGACCCCCACTGACGCTGCACTCCCCTCCTTAGCCCGACCGGTTGCGGGACGAGGAACTGGCTGAACTGGAGGATGCGCTCCGGAATCTGACGTGCGGCCCGGGGGGCCAGAGTGACGACGTGGAGGTCGCTCCGGCCCCCTTGCAGTCCCAGGCCCCCTCCCTGTCAGAGAAGCCATCGCCGCCTTCTGGCCAGACTTTTCTGTTCCAGGGTCAGCCTATAGGTGAGGCGCGCGGAGAGACTGGGTCGCCAGGAGGATGGAGTTTTGGAGGAGAGCGGTCTGGGTCTGGTAGTCAGGGGATGGAGAGGGGACTGGCTCTGGAGTCCCCCCGCGCTCAACCTGCCTCCCCACTCCCCCTGCAGTGAACCGGCCACTGAGCCTACAGGACCAGCAGACGTTTGCTCGCTCAGTGGGCCTCAAATGGCGCAAAGTGGGGCGCTCACTGCAGCGCGGCTGCCGAGCGCTGCGAGACCCGGTGCTGGACTCCTTGGCCTATGAGTATGAGCGCGACGGGCTGTACGAGCAGGCCTTCCAGCTACTGCGGCGCTTCGTGCAGGCTGAGGGCCGCCGCGCTACGCTGCAACGCCTAGTGGAGGCGCTGGAGGAGAACGAGCTCACCAGTCTGGCGGAGGACTTGCTGGGCCTGGCGGATCCCGATGGCCGCCTAGTTTAGGCCCAGTACCCAGGGAAGGGGCGGTCTGTCAGGCGCTCAGCCAGGAGCACCTTTATGCCTCTAGGCTCCCTTCTGCTGCTACTGCTGATCTCTGCCCATTCACAGGACTCCTAGACCACACTTAAAACCCCACTTGGCCTATCTGCTGGAGCTGCTGGGGCAGAGTTGACTGCCCCAAGCAGGGACACGGGAAGGGCCCACAAGCTTGCTGGGGTACACCATTGAGGATTCCACTCCAGATACTAGGATAGAAATGGGTCTGGGGGACCTGCTGTGGGGTCTGCCTGCCCCCCCCCCCCAAGAGGAGCTTGTGGCCAGTCCTTACCTCTTCACTGATTGAACAGTTACTCATTAGGCACCTGCTGTGTCGTAGGCATCTTCCTGGATGCTGTAAACACTTGGTGAGCAAGATACAGGAATCCTGCCTGCCCACAGCTCACACTCAATACGGGACCTCAAAAATTAAGTAACAGTAATAAAATGTAACCCATTTTTTAAAAATATTATTGTGTTTTCGGTGAGGGTTTACACAGCATTTTGGGTTTCCATTCAACAATTTCTACACAAGTTGTTCAGTGACATTGGTAACATTCTTCACAATGTGTGAACATTCTCATTATTTCTGTTCTGGTTGGTCCATTTCCATTAATCTAGTTTCCCTGTCCCCTTACATTCTTATCTGTTTTAAAGTAATTTGTTGACCATTTGGTCTCATATAGGTGATTTTTTAAAGGAGCACAGTATTTACGGGTGATATATTTTGAGCCAATTGGCTATTTAGCAAAAAAGTGACCTCAGAGGTTAGTTTCAGTTCAAGGTTTGAAGAGTATCTCAGGGCAATAGTTTCGGGCAGTCCTCCAGTCTCAACCAGTCCAGTAGGTCTGGGTTTGTTTTTTAAGGAATTTGAGGTTCTGTTCCACATTTTCCTCCCATTCTATCAGGATCCATCTATAGTGGTCGCCAGGCACCGTCTCATTCTTCGGGTTTCAGGGTAGATGAGGCTGTGGTTTGTAACCTGTTTTTTTATGTAAGAAGTACAAGGAGTTGTGGGAGCATTGAGGAGGGGCCTAACCAAGGCAGGGACTGGGGATGCTTCCTGGAGGAGATATGAGTGTGAATAAGGGGGTTGGTAGGAGAAGGGCAATGTTTTGGGCACAGCCAGCTTTAGGTGAGATCTTGAGGGAGGGATGTTAGAAGAACAGAAAGTTTATAGAGAGGCTGGATCTGGGGGCAGGTGGATTTCTTGAGAAGTCATTTGGTGAGTGGGGGAGGCAGATAGCACGGGTCTGGTTAGCCATCAGAGGCCTGGTGGTGCAATGGTTAAGAGCTTGGCCGCTAACCAAAAAGTTGGCAGTTTGGATCCACCAGCTGCTCCTTGGAAACCCTATGGGGCAGTTCTACTCTGTCCTATAGGGTCGCTATGAGTTAGAATCAACTCGACGGCAATGGGGTGAGTTGGGGGTTAGCCATCTTACAAAGTTTGGATTTTATCCTAAAGCAATGACTAGTTAGAAGCCTTTGAAGGGTTTCAGGAGCTGACTGGAAGGTTAGTTGGTGAGGATGCAGAGAGAGAAGATGGGCCCAGGCTGGGACAGTGGCAGCAGAGATAGGGGGAAGAGAATGAACACCGAGACCTCTTTAGGAGGAAAATGAACAGGCCTGGTGACACTGGATGAGGGGTGGGGTGAGAGGGCTCCAGAGTTTCTGCCTTTGCCATTTGGGTGGAGGATGGGGCCACCTGCTGCCATGGAGCAGAAGCCAGATCACAGGAATTTGTAGGAGGTGAGGTAGTAGGGAAAGCCAGTGTAGAGGACTCCTGAGAAGTCTGTGAACACGACAGACAGATCAGAACACAGGGCTAACTTTTTAAGGAAGAACACTGGTGGGAAGAAGTCTTCAGAGGGACAGGCAATAGCCAGTGGAAAGAGGATGGCGCTGGATAGCATTGCTGGTTCCAGTAGTAGCCTGTCCTCTGAGACGTGGGGGTAGGGGTTGTCTACTACAGGGCCCACTGTATAGGCTGGAACCTGGAGGTCCTGAGTTCGAGGAAGAGAGAGTTGGCAGCAAAGCTAGGCAAGCACTGGGCCCTCAGTCTCCAGGGTACCTCTCGGCCCATCTGGGTCCCAGATCAAACCCTTTGCTCACTGGCCTATTCCAGGAGCCTCCCAAACTGAACCAATCCCTGTAGCCCAGTCTGGCCTGTAGCAGTCCAGGCATGGTCACTTCCAACTTCGGGAGGCTATGCTGGTCTGGGGCACTGGGGACTAGGGGAGCCAGAACCGGGCCTGGGCCTGGCCCCGGGGTCCCTTAGCCCCTGGGGAGAAAGACTGAAGTGATTGCCGGTGAAGTTAAAGTAGACAGGATGGGCCCACTGTCATGTATTCCAGTGGGTGGACAGGGAGAGGGGCAAGGAAGGACAGAGGAAAGAGTCTTGGACTGAATTCCAGAAGACCTGGGGTATTGCTCTTACCTTCTGCCTGTGTGATCCTGGGCAAGGCACTTAGCTTCCTGAGGAGCAGTGTCCCCACCTGGACATAAGCAATGAGAACCCCTGCCAGGGTTGTAAGAACTGAATGAACTGTCGTGTGTGTGTGTGGGTGTGGGTGTGGGTGTGGGTGTGGGTGTGGGTGTGGGTGTG